AAGACAGATTCCATTTTTGAACACAATTGTCCTTTATTTTGTACATCAGGAAGAGGGGCTAGGGAAGGGTAAGTGGAAGGAGGTGAGGGAGGAATGGGGTACGCGCCCCCGATGGGGAGGACTGGGCTGGCTCTGTGGGCTTCTGGGGGTGGAGGCTCTCCTGCAGCCCCCCAATTGCCCCCTCTCCCCAGATGGCAGCCTGTGGCAAGTGCAGCCGGGCTGATGGCCGAGTGCTGTGATGTGCCCAGTGTGGGTACTCCGGGCAATCCAAGCCAGGACTGCTTTGCAAGCGGAGCACCCCTGAGAACTGTCTGTCCGGGGTGGGGGTCGGGACCCTTTAAGCACAGCCCTCGGCTAGCCTGAGAAAGCATCTCCACGCTCTAAGTCCTCCTCTGATGCCCTGCCGGCACTGCTTCCGGCCATCCTTAAGCCTGGTTCAGAGTCCACTTAATGTGGACATGCTAGTTCGAATTAGCAAAACGCTAATTCAAACTAGTTTTTTAGTCTGGATCCGTTAGTTCGAATTAACTTTGTATTGTAGACGTACCCTTTGTTCCCTTTTCATGCTTTTCACATGTCCCATATTTGAAAAGCCATAAGCCAAAGTTCCCCAGGCTAACATAAAAACGTAAGAATGGCAATACTGGGTGAGACCAAAGGTCCATTATCCCAGTATCCTGTTTGCCGACAGTGGCCAATGCCAGGTACCCCAGAGGAAGTGAACCAAATAGGTAATGATCAAACAATCTCTCTCCTGCTATCCATCTCCACCCTCTGACAAACAGAGGCTAGGGACACCATTCCTTACCCATTCTGGGTAATAGCAATTAATGGACCTTACCTCCATGAATTTATCTAGCTCTTTTTTAAACCCTGTTATAGTCCTAGCCTTCACAACCTCCTCAGGCAAGGAGTTCCACAGGTTGACCGTGCTCTGTGAAGAACTTTCTTTTATTTATTTTAAACTTGCTGCCCATTAATTTCATTTGGTGGCCCCTAATTCTTATATTATGGGGACAAGTAAATAATTTTTCCTCATTCACTTTCTCCACACCAGTCATGATTTTATAGACTTCTATTATATCTCCTCTTAGTCTCCTCTTTTCTAAGCTGAAAAATCCTAGTCTCTTTAATCTCTCTTCATATGGGACCTGTTCCAAACCCCAATCATTTTACTTGCCCTTTTCTGAACTTTTTCTAATGCCATTATATATTTTTTGAGATGAGGACCCACATCTGGTGAAGTATTCAAGATATGGGTCCTCATGGCTGTGTACCATGGTTTTATATAAGGGCAATAAGATATTTTCCAT